ATCGAAGCGATTATATCGGTGAGGAAAGCATTCTTCTGGATTCTGTTCTTGGAAATAAACAATCCGAGTAGAAGTTACTTGTTGCTAATGGAATATGAAAAGAAGTGAGGATGATTCACCTCAATGTATGCGGCATAACGGGTCTTAGCTGGAAGCGTGGGGTTGGGAGATCTAAGGAACGTCGCTCGTCTGAATATTTGGCATAGTAATAACGGTAGAGGTGCCCTATACTCAAGTATATACGGTACTTAAAATGTTTTTTTAATTAATTTCATCAATTTTCTTTACAAAATAGCAAAAAATGTATTTATCATTAAGTTAATTTTATAATAAACTGCATTATGATTTTGTAAGATCTGTTAAATATTTTTTTTTTTATTTCCTGAAAAAAACTTCTATAACTTCTCTGATCCCATAAAATTGTAAATTTTCGTCTCTGGGAAAGTGGTTGCAAGGTGGAAAACATTACATCCGCTACAAGGCTGCGTAAACGCTTTTAAACTCCATCAAAACTAGAAAATGAAAACTAGGAAACTGCAGGCCAGATATGGCAACAATACTCCATTTTCTGCCTGATCTGGCTCTTATAAAGGTAGACGATATCAGGAGGTGGCAATTACTTACTGAAGCTGATAAGTGATAACTCCTGGATCCCATGAGCTATAAGCAACTGACTTTTATTTCTTACTAAACGAAGTTTAAAAAAATGCCAGAACAAATCATTCCCGGAATCCCTGTTAAGTTATTAGGTACACGTCAACCTTTTTAGCTATAAAATTAGGAAAAAAAAGTCAAACCAAAGAATAAGACGGTAACTACAGAGGTAAAGGGAATCAGATAAATTTTTCTACCATATTTAGTGATGGAACGTATATTTGAGTCCCGCTTTAGGTCTGGGGTCAGCTTAATCCCAAACAGGCGATCAGAGCAAGTGGCCACTTTGAGGGAATACCCATTCATTAAAATAGATGAAAACTCAGAATTTGCTCGGTGATGTTGGAACGTTACAAGTTGGTTTTTGAAGTATTGAATGAGGCCAAATATTTTTCCTCCATTGAACTGCCAGACTCTGTCCATGTAGAATTTTAAAGAACCAAATAAGAACTAAAATTCAAGGTCTGTATAATTTGGGGATGGAGATATCCAGGTAGCAATAACTTTCAATAATTAAAATAAGACAACGATATGTCTTCTCTCTGGACTTCTTCAACATTTAGAGCGAAGCGATTCTGAAAGAATTAGAAGTCCTGTTAGGATTCATTATAGGCGGCCACAATCTTAACAACATAAGATGTGCAGATGACACTGTGTTGATAGCAGACACGGAAAGTAAACTACCGGCTCTCCTGCAGAAAGCAATTAGAGAAAGAGATAAAAAATATTAAAATTTAGAGATACCAAAATTAAGCAAGTACTACAACTTAAAAATCTCGTAGGTATTTTGACAGAGGACAGAAGGTGCGATATTGAAATCTGAAAGGTCATTGAGAATTGCGTTTCAAAATCTAAACAATGTATTACGAAATAGAAACAGTTCATTAAAAACAACGTAAACAGTACTGAGCTATTATCTGATATCTTAGCAACATAAGATATGCAGATGAAACTGTGTTGATAGCAGACACAAAAAAGTAACTACAAGAACTCTTACAGAAGGTAGTGAAGGAAAGCGAGAAGAAAGGACTAATCATCAGTTCCAATAAAGGTATAATTCATCGTTATTAGCAAAAGGAACAACCCAACATGAATGTATTAAAAATAAATGCTTACCAAATCGGACAATCAACCTAATGAGCCATATAACAAAACTTATCATCCGAATTCAATAGAATTAGATCATAAATAGGACACGAACAGTGCGGGTTCGTTAAAGATACTGAAACGAGGAATGCTATATTTATGCTCAGGTTATCAGAAAGAGCAATACAATTGCAACAGGAATTATGCCTAAGTTTTATAGATTACTAGCAGCATGGCCCAGCATGGCCCGGCGTTGCTCGTGCTTGCCAATAGAATCTTCCTGCCTATTCGTGGCGCCAGCTATTGACTCTCACTCTGGCCAGTACAAAATGGCCGCAAACTATATGAAAACTGCCGTAGAAGCATGAAAAAATCTATTATTTCCACTATCGATGGGAGTTGGGGAATGCAAAGTTGGTCTTGGGCTTCCCGCTAACTTGGAACATGTGCGTGTAAATTTTGGTGCAAATCCGTCGAAAATTGCGGCCGTGCATTCGTTACACACACACATTCTGCCTTTTATAGAGATGCTAAAGCATTTGATGAAGTATATCTCAAAGAACAGTTTGAACTCCTAGTTAAGCTTGATGTATTTAGAAAAGGTATGAGATAAAACAGAACCGCCTGCAAACAGATAGAAAATGAATTCAATAAATATACCAAAATAAAAAGGGGTTTAAAACAAGGATGTATCTTACCACCGGTCTTATTCAACCCATACGACAAGGTGATTCTGAAAGAATTAGACGTCCTGTCAGGA